AATATGGTTCATCAAAGGTGTGCAAAAAAGTATGTACAGTTTTTTTTTTTTTATCCAAAAATGTATTACAGAAGGAAATAAATTAAAGTTATTAATATATACAAAAATATACATGGATCTGCCGATGTACAGGTTAAAAAATACAAACATAATCCAAAAGTCTCCAATTCTCACCAAAGCTCACCATCATCATCATCATATTTTTTTCACTCTGCCACTTTTTCTTTTCTTTGAGTATTGGTTTTGAAATAGTATATGTATGACTGCACAGTAAACATTTAAACAAAGTCACAACCTTAGACAAAACTAAGAAACAGCATGTGACAATGAATGGGAAGATACAACACAACCAGAGCTACAAACACAAAACTAAAGATGGCATATTTTGCTGGCATTTGTGTTTTTCTCTGTGATGGTGTGCGATGATGCCCAATCTTAGTCCCTTCAGAATAAAAGTCCTGTCTCAGTCTGTGATACACGTCATGCACCATTTTTCAAGAGAAGCACATATAAAGCTGCTCCGAACAAAAGAGAAGCTTTAAGGGCTTCCTGCTGCTTTCTGACTAAATTAAAGCTTCATGGTTTATCATCTGAAAATCAAGAAATCAATACATTACTTCAGTTTTATATGTTTACAGTTGTACTATAAGAATTACGCTTAAGCTTACAGTCCTTAACATTTTTACATCAGTTCTACAGTTTGAAATCTGTTTGTTATTATTATCTCACCTCATCTATGAATGTCTCTCTGTGAAACATCAGAATGAATCTCTGCAGGTCTGTCTGAATTCTGACAAACTAGAAAACACAAACACAAACATCTGATAATGTTAATGCAGTTCATAGTGGATAAATGTTAAAGTTCAGGATCAGGATCAATCAAGAAATCACGGCTCCTATTAGGGCCTTTCGCACCGCTTTAGTTCCAGAACTAAATGTACTGTACTAAAGTACTGGGACGATTTTGCGCGAACTATTTCTCAGTACCATTTAAAGGGTTGCATTCGCACCGACAGTGTGTACTAAGAAGTGACGTAAGCCGGTCGACAGCGACGTCATTTGTGCGCGGCGTTCAACAACAGAAACAAAGAAGAAGAACATTAACAACAGGAGGATGGAGGACGCTGTGATCGGAGCTGTGTTTTTGTTGTGTCTCGCGGCTTTCACAATAATGGACATGGAATGTCAACGTATACGTAAAGTGATTGAAAGAACGGAAAGGAGGACTAAGAATCTCCAACGACAACTGGCAGTGCTACATTTGCTACAAGTGCCTGCACTTCAGCGTCCGTCCACCTATCGCTGTTCTCCATACTTGCGAAATAATTTGACAATGTTTACAGTATGTTTACAAAACAAAACGTTTTAAATCATGGCGGGTGAGGGTGTTTTCGTACGCGTTTGGCCAATCAATGTCTACTTACGTCATGATTAGTACCAGTTGTGCTGGTTAGACCCTGCTCCAGAGTAGGAGCTAATTTGGTTCTCGAAAAAGGCAGTCCGGTACTAAAATCGCACCCAGTTCCGGCGGTGCGAAAACGCCAAAAAGTGGGTAGTTCCACAATTAGTTCTGGTACTATGAAAAGGTTCCCGCGGTGCGAAAGGCCCTATGGCTTTCAACACTGTTAGCATCAATTCCATGTGACAGTATTACATCTAGAGTATGATTTCGACAATGAGTAGGACCTGACACGTGTTGTCTAACCCC